CCCCCCGACTCCATCTTTCTTTAAATTCCATTTCCACTCTCCATCCACCACCGCAAGAAACTCACCGAGGGGTCTGTTTGCATGGCCCAAGGTCACCCAAAGTAACGAGCGCGTTCAGAGCCATGGCTTCTACCGAAGCTGAACCCCGCAGCACCATTGCCATTAACGATGATACGGATGCAGAGACGGACGCACCTCGATCCCCGCCGCGAAAGCTACGGAGAAAGAGACGCCTTATGGACAATAGCCTCCAAGATTATGAGGTTCTGTTTGATGGCCCGGCGATCCTCAATTCCTCTGCATCCACAAAATCACAGCCGCTGAAATGCGAAATACACAACTTGAAAGCAGTTCTGGCAAGCTCCCATCAGAGCTGGACTTGCCCTTTGCTGATATTAGGAAAGGCGACAGCAAAACAAAAAATTCACACCGTATTTGAAGCAGGGTCCGCGAAGATCAGGGACCTACAAGAAGTGCAGCGCCTGAAGAAGTGGGACACTGAGCTAGAAATCAAGCACTGGGAAGAGCTGATTGGGAAAAACAAGGAGATCTGCAAGCTTGAGGCTGAGGTCAGCGAGCTGGAGCATCGGTGTCAATGTCCAATATGCTATACCATCCTTCAGAGTGGAAAACCCGCCTGTGCGGACACAGGTTCTGCCCAGGGTGTCTCTTTCCTGACCCAGAGACCTGTGGACCATGTCGTCGAGATTTCACTGGCTATATAAAGAGTTATTAGGTAGCAGTGCTTTGTCTACAGCACTAGATTCCAATCGTAGTTTTGTAACAGGGACCGGGTATTTGCCTGTTTTCGCCAATCCGTGGATAGGGGAACAAATTAGAACTCTTTTAAATTTCTCTCAGAATTGCTACCATACTTCATACATATAGGCAGTCATGCTGAACAAAGAAGACATATGGGCCGAAAGAAACAAAATTAGCCGACACACTGCTTCGTGAGTACATGAGGGATGGCTCACATCTGCCAGTTGTTAGAGGTGAGAAGAAGTTATATCGTCATCATCACCTAATCGTAGATTGAACGGCTGAAAAATCGGGCTTTCTCATTTTCGAGGACGAGATCTGACTTCTGCCCGAAAAGAGAGTTTTCTTGCGCTAGGTAGTTTTCCTTAAATTAAGCCCCTCCATCAACCAGGGGTCAAATACCAGCTCTTCCGCAGTCGGCCTTTCCTCAGGCATCCAGCATAGAATCCTTTGAAGAAACTCCAGAAATCCCTTTTTGTTATCTCCCTCGAGATCGTCTGCAAGTCTTTCAAGGGAGATGTCAGGGATGGGTGCAAAACCTCTCCATTGACCTTGAATGTTTTGTCAACGTTAGCAGAAAATACAAGGTCCCCCACTCTGTAGATTTGAACATGTATTCACATACCATTCTTATCCCACCATATAGAACTCATCTCACTTCGTTCCAGGAACTCCCTAGGAGGAGGTACCATGATAGCAACCATCTCTGCAAGGTGGAGTGTATCATCCAGAAGTCGCTGATCATTCTTGGCTTGGAAGAGGGTACGCCCAGCTACAAGGTCCCAAAACTGACCAAATAATAATTGAAGACATGTCAACTAAGCCTGTCAAAATATAACAAAAGGTAATTGTCACTTACCACCATAGCAATGCTCCAAATATCAACTTTATTGTCCCAATTCATCTTGAGAATAACCTCTGGTGCCCTGTAGACATCTGGCATAATATCTTGTCCTCTGTGATCTTCATCATTGAACCTGGCCTCGCCCAAAATCTGTTATAATAGGAAGGCACCGTGTGCGGGGAATCCGCCGGCTCTTGTAAATGATGCGATCATCAAGGATCTTTCTTGGTGCGGGGTGTTTCAACTCAGCCTCTTCAAATACTGAGAACACATTAGCATCATCAATCTCAAGGAGCATGTTTCTGGATTGGAGATCTGTATGCACAATGTTGGCTGAATGTAGGAAGTCAAGCCCCCCCAGGATTTGTCGTAATGGAGGTTTCAAAAGTTGTATAGTCAGAGTCCTGGTAGGCCGAAGGTCAAGCATCTGTTCCAAACTCAATCCCAATGGTTGTTGAACAAGGCACACATGAGTGCCATCTGGGCCAATCACTTCAAATGAGTCATATAGTTGTCGAAAGAGATTTTTGCCGGGATGGCCAGATTGAGATTGAACAGAATTGAGATGACTGTAGATTCTAATCTCATGGTTTGGCTTGGAGGAGGAAACACAAAACTTCAGTACAACATGTCGAGGCTCACTAGTTAGCAAAAGTGAAGTTAGCTATTAGACTTATTCTGAGCTGTAACAACATGATAAATGAATGTACGCACTGTAGATCACGACAGAGCCATACAGTTGATGTCACTCCATATCCTAGTTTCCCAACAATTTGATATCTGTCATTGAAAATTTCACCTATTTGAGCTGGGTAATACTTTTCTGCCTTATATGTCGGAAGGGTTTCTTCCTCAATATTTTCAGAGGCATCAGTCAAGTCAAACCCAGAGCTTGGAAATGTGAGGGGAGACATTAGTTGAGAGAACATCATTTTCTGAGCTCCATTAAACTGTTGCGAATAGTGCGGTACAGCAGAACGTAAAGACAGACAAGATCGGCTTCTGGAGAATGAAGACCGCACATAAAGATAAGCAAGAGACAATTTAGCAGTCATGTCAAAAACAAGATTCTTAAATCACCTGCCAATCGTACCTTTGAAGGACTGAAAGTTTTGTTGTTCTTCTTTCTGTTAGGGGTTCCTGATGAGACGAAGCTAGAAATAGTAATTTCTGCCAAGCCGTTTTAGCCAGAGCTCAGCACCATTTAGGCGCCCTGTTCTACCGCCCGGATTTGACCCCAATTGATGACCGAAGGTCGAAGCCAACCAATTGACAATTTGGCAGAAAAATGACGTTAAAATGGCCTTGTAGCCAGTCGGGGATAGAATCTCTTCTCCAAACCGCTGTCGCCAATTCATGCAAGCTTGGCAGTGGTGGAAACAGTTTAAAAGGCGGCGCTTACCGTTGAATACGCTTACTGGAGAATGGAATGGCTTCCTACGGCATGACCCGAAGTCTTTTGGGCAGAGGATCTGTTACACAAGCACGCCTATATAAGCAACCAACACTCCGCTGCGCTAAATTCTTTCTCTTCCGTCAAAGGACTGAATAAACCACAATTTTCTGTGATATTTCTCTGATATATATATATGTACTGAGAGTCATCTCCATTTACAAAGCTCTGGTTTTTTGAGAAGCAATCCACCTGCAAAGATGAACCGCGTCGCTGCAAGGGGACTCCCATGCTACAGCGCAGAGAGTACTTCAATATAGTGGTTCTGTTAACCTCGGAGATGTTATTTCGATGAATGCAGATGGGGCTGAGTGGTTAGACTCAGTGGACAGTGATGCAACATGATAGAAAAAGCTGTATGTTGCCCTGCCGCTTTTCGCTAGTGATAGCTAATAATTCTATAGGATCCTCGGATAAAACAAGCTCACATTCAGCAGGGTGCCTCTTTTTTTTCCCCTCTCTTTTTTTTTTTTTTGTTTTCATGATGTGTCTCAGTGTGCCAACCTCAAAATAGTGGATTTAGCTGGGGGACTTGCAGGGGTGCGCGGGCACACAGGTCGAGTAAAGACAGAAATGACTCAAAGGATGTCATTACAGTAGCGCTTTTAACCGCCACAGGGACTCGTGTTTGGCAGTGCTCATTTCCACCTTGACGGTTCCTTTAAGTTCTTTCCTTCTCGTGCCGGAAAGCTGGGCGGATTTGCAGACAACTTGCAGAAAGCGGGTCTCGTGGTAGAAGAGGGAGGGCCTGAGAGGAATACTGGGGGTGCGGGTGATGAAAACAATCACGCCACAGCAATCTTCTTCAAAATAGTTATTAGCACGGACGCTCTTTCTTGTACGGACTGATGAACGCGGGAAATGATTCAAATGAGTAGTATGGATATTCTGAAGGAGGCGGCGCAGGCTGCCATTGTTCTGGCGATTTCTTGTATTTAGGACTACTTGACCGGAGTTAAAGAATAATGCTCTCTTCACACAGATTCTCTTCTGTAGGCAATATTTCCAGATCCAACAGGATCCCCGTCGCCCAAAAATAGACAGGATGAATGCAGCAAACAAATCGGCAGGATGTCATTTTTCTGCTTAATGAAATGCGGCGTGTAGCTCATGTGGTATATCTGATGTCCCGTCTACTTGGAGATAACGTTAAACGTATAACATTCAAATATTAAACTGTTGTGGTGGTACAAAGCATTCAAGTTCGTGGTGAAATGCTCACTCACCGTAGTCCAATTCTCGTAATCAAGTAAACTTCTTCGAAGACCCGCTTGCAATACAAAAGGCGGTATCGACTGTCCAGAAAATGATTCATGTACATCCCTTTCGTTCTCACCGTCCTTTTCATCCTGTCCCCGAATAATGTTATTCTCCAAAGGAAACCTAGAGCGAGAAAACGGCCTACTCAAACATGTGGAACCGTTATCTCTGATCCGAGGCAGCGTTTGCATACTGATGATTCGACCTGTTGTCTGTGGTGCTGCAGCTGAAAACCCCAGCGTTGGCGGGGTTATAGGAGGTGTAGTATCAGGCCAGAATAGAGTATGGTTCTCCGATGCGGGAGAACGGACCTTGGATGGGTGTGACATCGGCCCCTGGAGCGAGCTCAGTGTTTCCGGGATCTTGCAATCAACCTCCCACTGTTCAAAAGGGCCGTGTCGTTCGTTCGAGCTATGCGTAGAGTCCACATCCGTGGTGCTCCCGGACTCTTTGCCATGAAAATGTACGGCTTTTTGCACACGAAGGTTCTCGAGGGCAGACGGCGAACGTTGATCCAAGCCGGAACAGGATATTGAGAAAGTGCCAGTTTGCTCCTGCCGCACAGGGCGGTTGAGGCAGAGCAGTAATGCATAGAACGTGACCTGGCAACCTGCAGAAAGCGCCCATAAACTTATCCATCCACGGAACAGTCCTGGAAAGTTACCTTTAGAGTTAGGACCGTGAAGTGAACGTAGGCCACGGGTTTCCCGAATGGTGGCACAGGTCAATATGATGGTCGCCAACAGAATGCAGCCGATTAATATCAGATGCCCCCAAGGCCGACGGAAAAGCAAAGCGTTCTGCTCCCTCTTATAAGCAAAAGTAGATATCAAAGATACCAGGACCATGCAGCATATGGCGCCGAATATCATATCGACAAACAGAATAAGGCTAGTTTTCGTGTCATCAGGGCCGAGTCGCCGCATACATTTAGCACAGACAATGGTCGAAATAAATGTTAGCACCAGTGAGGAACAGCCAGCAGTATAGGCCACCGTGCATCCAGCGTCCAAGCATTGACCCATCAAAACCGCGAGTATATGTGTTGACAGTTGCCATCAGAAAAACAGCAAGAAAGACCATTTTGTCAGCTTGACAATTCTGTTATTTGCCCCTGGCTGGGCGGAAATGGAACATTGGGGGGTTGTGGACTCTACGTTTTGACAACTTACATGGCTCAGCCTGACTGAATCCTTTTGCTTGGCAGCTCAGCACGACAATTGGTTGGTCTCCATTCAGCTGACCCCCCACTTGTATTCTCTTGAGGCCACTCTCACTACGGAAGTCAACTTTCATTACCAGGTGGCTGCCCCAGCATGCGAATCTTATCAGTAATTTTAACATTCACCCTTTAGAACCTTTCCACTTACGCAATCTTTGAATGATGCGGGATTTCAAAATGTTCTTCAAGGCTCTGACCTCCTCCAATACGCCGGAAACAAATCCAGCAGATTACTCTAATTATCCATCCGGGAGCTCTCCTGCTCCCATTTCCTTTCCGGACGGAAGTCAAAGTGTTGCATGAGTGTGCTCTGACGCCATAGTCGATATCTGCTTCGTCCATGGCCTGACTGGGAATCGAGATAGCACCTGGACCGCCCGTGGGCAATCCACACCTTGGCCAAAAGGCGCTCCTTCCAACAGAGCTTAGCAGGGCCAGGATACTCACTTATGGCTACGACGCATACATAGTGCGAAAGCCAGTTGCAGGGTCAAATCGATTGACTGATCATGCTACAAACCTCCTCCATGATCTGACCGGAAAAACGTCGCAATGCGCCATCTCGTGCCCTTATTTTTGTCGCCCACAGCTTGGGTGGTCTTGTATGCAATAAGGCCATTCTGTTCTCACGAAATAACCGAGAAGCTCACCCCCGGGGTATATTTGATTGCACTGAAGGCATTGTCTTCATGGGCACCCCTCATAAGGGATCCTGGATAGCAGATTGGTCAAAGATTCCGGCTGGGGCTCTCGGCCTTTTGAAATCCAGCAACAAGTCACTGTTGAAAGTCTTGGAAACAGATAATCAGCTTCTTGAAGCCATCCAGGTTGACTTCTGGTCAATGATCTGAGAACTACGACAGGGTGGCAGGTGTCTCGAGGTCACGTGTTTCTTTGAAGAGTTGCCACTGCCTGGGGTTGGAAAAGTTGTTTCCAAGGAGTCAGCTACTCTTGAAGGCTATATTCCGATCAGCATCCACGCCAACCATACTGATATGGTCAAGTTCAATTCCGCCAATGATATTGGATTCGTGAGGCTGTGTGGCGAGCTGATCAGGTGGGCATCGGATATCAGATATTTGGTTTTCTGTCCAATGTAGTCTACAGAACTTGGCTAAGAATCCCAAGTTCACCATATGCTATGAATGAGAAGGATCGCCAGTGCCTTAAGGACTTATGGGCGACCGACCTTAATGACGACAAGACGCGTATACAGCAGAGTAAGGGTGGCCTGCTGAAAGACTCATACATCTGGATCCTCAAGAATCCCGACTTCCAGCAATGGCGTGACAATCAGGAGAGTCAGCTTCTCTGGATCAAAGGCGATCCCGGCAAGGGTAAAACAATGCTACTTTGCGGTATTATTGACGAGCTGAAGAAGTATATCACTAAAACAAGTCTTTTGTCCTTCTTCTTTTGCCAGGCCACCGACTCAAGTACCAACAACGCCACAGCTATTCTTCGTGGCCTTATCTACCAGGTTGCCACGCAGCGGCCATCGCTCATAGCGCACGTGCGGAAGGAGTATGATCATCGAGGTAAAGATGTATTTGAAGGTGTGAATGTCTGGATTGCCTTGTCTTGTATCTTTACAAATATCCTAGGGGACCAAGTCTTGAAAAACACAAACAACTTCCTGATTATTGATGCTCTCGACGAGTGTAATACAAACCTGGTGTTGCTTCTTGACTGGATCGTCCATACGTCGACAGCGCATTCAAATGTCAAGTGGATAGTATCCAGTCGCAACTGGCTGAGCATTGAGGACCACCTTAGTACCGCGAGAGAGGAAGTAAGACTGTCTCTTGAGTTGAATGGAAAGTCCATTTCCGCAGCCGTTGCTATATATATCGAGCATATGGTTGAAGAACTGGAGAAGAAAAAGAACTATGGCAAGGATACACGGGAAGCTGTCCAGTGTTACTTATCCTCAAATGCGAACAATACCTTTCTCTGGGTTGCCTTGGTTTGTCAAGAGCTCGCAAGCCTAAAAGTCAGACGACATCACACTATCTCGAAATTGCGTGCGTTTCCCCCAGAACTAGATCACCTATACAGGCGGATGTTGGACCAGATCAGCAATTCAGAGGATGCTACACTTTGTAATCGCATACTAGCTGTTCTCTCAGTTGTGTATCGGCCTCTTCTATTGGACGAACTCGAATCTTTCATCGAGCTGCCTGACAGTCTCCCTAATGAGTCTCTGGGAGAACTCATTGAGCTTTATGGTTCTTTCCTAACCCTTCGAGAACGTACCATTTCATTTATCTATCAGTCTGCCAAGGACTTTTTAGTCCAGAAGCCGTCGAAGGAGATTTTCAAATCTGGGATAAAAAATAAGCACTATACCATCTTCTCGCGATCACTACAAGTAATGTTCAAAACTCTTCGGCGTGACATTTACAACTTAAGGGCTCCAGGATTGCCTATCAGCAAGAAGCTTCATTCACTAAATGAGAGAGATCTGAAATCAGACAAGTAAAGATATAAGAACAGCACAGGAACAGATGAAGAGGCAGACTGACAAACATCATCAAGAGCCTGACTTTGTAGTAGAAGATTTTGTTTATCTAACATTGAGATCATACAAGATGAATTAATCAAGCTGTAAACTGACAGAGCAGAATGCTGACTTCTTCAAAATTCTAAAGAAGGTGAACAATGCCTACAAACTGAATCTCTCTGCAATGATGAAGATTCATTCAATCTTCTCCTCAGATAAGCTATGTAAGAATCTCAGAGACCCTCTACCTGGCCAGACTGTCAGACCACCAGACTCAATTGAAATAGACAGGGAGAATGAATGAGAGATAGATTGTATACTGATCAGTCAAATAAGCCAGGGCAAGCTGCAGTATTGAGCATGCTGAAAAAGATTTGATGAGAATTTTTCATGATATCTCACTCATGACTTCAAGGAATCACCCTACACAATATGAGATTTCCATGAGGCCAACCCCACTAAAGCTGGATCACTGAAACATCTAGATGAATGAGTAAGAACATGAGAGATGAGCAGCTATCTGAAAGATGAAGATGATGATGATCTTCCAGCATGAGGACATGCTCACTTCTAGATCAGAGAGTGATGTTAGGCTTGGCACCAGGGCTAGGTTTATCCCCATCACATGACCACGCCCCACATGGGACCTAGTGGATCAGCCATGATCCAGTCATGTGACCATGTGAGCTGTTTATAATCTGAGCAGACTCTGACACCTTTTTTTCCTCATCAACCTTAGTATTTCATTATATAACTGTTAGCAACACAGAGAGCTTCCTTCTTATGCAGCTTGCATTCACTCTCTAACACTTATGTTCTTTCAAGATTTTACTATAGATAAGCAGATCATTTACAAAAGTATTCATAAACTGATTTAAATAGTCAAAGAAGATTATATTTATAAAGTATTAAAAAATTATTAATTTATTATTTAAACTAAAAAATATGATTATATATTTGTAAATCTCATAATATATTCTAAAGACAGTCAGATTTTCAGTCTCAGAGTGCATATATATTTAATGAAAATCTTGATGAATGTTCAACTTGATAAAAAATTTAGTTTTATTTATTTACTTCATAAGCTTATCAATTAAAAGAAGTGAGTATCAGTTCTTCTTTGAGATGATATTAAACTGATAATAATTTATATAAAACTTTCAGTTTGCCTGCTGTATGAGCTATAAGAATTGAAGATGCAAATAAGAAAGCAACTGATGAAATAAATCTCTTTTTTAAATTAATTTCAAGATATTATTTGACTATCTCAAGCTTTTTCAGAATTATTCAATATAATAATACATGGTCAATAGTCTTATTTGAATCAACTTTTTTTTTCAGCTCAATTTTATAATTTATTCTCTTTTAGAAAAATAATAATTTATTAGAGACAGCTTTTAAGAAAATATATCAAAATTTTTTATAGTTCTTTAATAACTACTTATTAATTAACTCTTTATTCTTCAGTTCTGCTTCAACAATAATTTTTTTTCTCAATAATTTTGTCTATATTATAGAGACTTGAAATGTATATCTTTAACTTCTCACTTTTTTTATAGTGATGAAAGATAATATCTTCAATAAATATTATCTTTTGTTGCTTATTTCTTTTATCATTTTTATATTTGAATTTTTTATCAATAAATTTATTATAATAATCTATATTTTATTAATACTATAACTTTATTACTAATCTTTTTAAAATCTTTTATGAAATCACTAGACTATAATATCTCTAATATTTCATCTACTGATATTCATACACTTAATTAAACTAAATATTGATTTTTTATATATAATTATATTTCATATTTTATCTGTCAAACTTATTCTAAAATTATATCAGTGCTTTTCAAATTTATTATTAATATTGATATATTTAGAAACCTTTTATTATTTATTTATATATATAAAGAGATGACTTTAATAATTAGAGTTTCTATTTAATTATTAAAGCCTATAACCTGATGACTTTTTTTTTTATATCTTTAAAAATTATTCTCAATACTTTAATACACTTTTATGTAAAACTTGAGTTAATAAGAATATAATAATTTGCTTTAAAATCTACTAGTGATCTTGTAAAAATAGTATATTTATTAAAAGCTACTTTGATATATATAATAAAAGAATTTTTATTTATCAGCTTATTTATATTCAAAGTCTCTAGTGCAATTATCTTATCTGAGAAGAAGGCTTCTCTTAGATTTAATCTTTTTTTGAATTAGTAATAGTAGTTTTAATATTTACTTTCTTCAGTTCAGTCTTTTATTTATATGAGCAATTCTATACTATATGATCTTTGCTTTAGTAGTTAAAGTACTTTATATTCTTTTTTTAATTCTTATTTTTTAATTTATTTTTAGTTATTTATATCAATATGAGTGAAGTTGATTCATAATTACTCTGTTTTATAAAAGTATCTTCACAGTTAGCTCAAATTATTAAATTTCTTCAATAGTTGATCAGTTATTAGCTATTTTGATTAGATATACTTTTAAGATAGTAAGTAGTCTAGATGCAGATCTTTTGAATCTTATAAAAAATACTGCAACTGATATAAATCACTGTAATCATATATTAAAGATCAAAGAATAGTTTGCAATAAAAATCTACTTTATAATCTTTCTTCTAAACTTAAGCTTTAATAGTCAAATATAAAAAGTTGATCATAAAGATATAATAGTCATTCTAATTTCTTATTATCAGCTGTTAGTATTTCATTTTTACATTTTCAAGCTTATTAATATTCTTATATATATTTTACAGATACTTAAAAACTTTTTTTATAGTTTTAAACTTATCAGAATAATTTTCTCTCATTTTAAAAGTCAGATATCTTATTACTTTATTATTTATTCAGTTTTTTATATATATAATTCAGCATTCTTCAGTTAAAAAGTGATCAATATTGATAGTTAGCTTATATTTTATTTGTGAAAGTCAGTTTTCAAATACTAGTTCTTTCTCATTAATGAGATACTTTAAATTATTAAGTTTGACTGATTATTATGTTTGTTGAATATTTATCAGTCTGATTTATAAGGATAAAAATTTTATTATTTGCTGTAATATATTTTATTTTTCTATTAAGTTATTCATTTATTGATTAAGTTCACTTATTTTCTTTCTTTAATTATCTCATTCTGTTTTAATTTAATTTAGAGTTTCTCTTACTTTATTTATATAATTAATAATCTTTTGATATATTTGCTCTGAGTTCTCCTTAATTGCTTTCAAAAATATTTTCTTTGATAAAAGCTCTCTTGACTTCATATTTCTTCTCATCAAAGTTATTATATCTCAGTTCAATTTTCACAAACTGTTAGATTTTTTAACTACTACTGATATATTAATAATATTTTTAAAGATTTAAAATAAAAATAAATAAAAATTTTGAGAGATTTTTTATTTAAAAAATTTGTTTTAAAAAGAGCAAGAAAAGTTATTGATCTTAGTATTATATTAAGACTTCAATGTAAATATAAATAAAATAAATATTTAATTATCAATCAAATAAGTTATCTAGATAAAATACTAAAATAATTATTAATAGATAAGTTTAAAGAAAACTCTGTTTATATAACTCTTTTTTTAGCACTATTTTTCACATTTACATGTTATTTATATACAAAGTAATTATGAGGTTGATTGCTATATCAATATCTAAATAGTTATAATTACTAATCATCTTGACCTGTAATTTTACACTATTGAATAGGCTGAACAGAGTCTGTCTATTCTATACTATTATATCTACAGTTTAAAAATTATAAATAACTAATTGTAATTAAGTTAATCAATATATTTAAATAAATTTTATATCTCTATATTATTTTCAAAAACAAAAATTTATTGAAAAAGTAATTTAAAGATTTTCTAAAAGACTAATACTAGATATTATTTTAAATGACTAAACTACTGATAAAATAGATTTGAGATAACTTCAACAGATATTTATTTCAATAGTAAATTTTTACAGAGTTAACAGATCTATTTTTCTTATTTTGAATAATTATAATAGTTATATTACTTTAGAATTTAATTAAATCTATAAGAATAATATTATAATATCTTTTTATATATTATCTTATATTTCATATATTTTACAGTCACTAAATATAAGTATTTTTTTCAACTTTAAAGTGAGCATATGAGGATTTAGTTCAGCAGTAAATATAATTTGAATTTAATATTATTCAAAAAGTAGATTTATTAGATACTTATTCTGCAGTATATACTGTATTCTTCAAATCTCAAACTATTTAAAATAATTTCAAGATAGCTAAAATAGTACTTTTTTAATCTGACTATATTTTTCAATAGTTAAATATTCAATTATAAACTTCTACTTTTTCATACAATAGCTCTAGCAATTCAATCACATTCTAAGTATTTTAAATACTTAATAATTCTCAGTAATTATATTCATAAATAAATAAAATCAAAAATTTAATAAAAAATTAATTTTAAAACTTTGTGAAAAACTTTAATCAAATTATCAAAATTTGTGAATATGAGATGATCAATACCATTATTATAAAGAAGTAATATCAGAAATATTTAATATGAATAAGATAAAAAAAGTAAAATACAAGAGATTTAGATATTAAATTCAATAATAAGTAGAAAATTTAATTAATAAAAAAGTTTAAAGTTTTTTAACTTTATCTGCAGCATTTATAAAGTCTGCAATATTTGTTGAATAGTCAGTTAATGTAAAGGATTAAGCTCTAAGAACTAGAGGCTAGTCCTCCTATATAACAAGAATGAATTGCTTGAGAAAGGGAAGAAAAGAATGAGATAAGAACTCAAGCTTAAGCAAGCTCACATAGCATAATCACATGTGCACATGCAAATGATGACTAGGCTGAGTCAGCTAGTTAGAGCAAATCTAGGGGTTCAACCTCTTATAATACCCTCCTTCTCTCTCTTTGTTGCAGGTCTTTACAACTATTTAAAGCTCTCTTTATATCTAA